ATCAATTAAATCTCAAATTAGGTACAACTAATATAATTGTTAACTTTTAGACAGTTTTAGACATGTCCGAATATGTTTTGAATATATTGATATTATTTTATAATTTTTTTAAATTGTAGTATTATTTTGTTATTGTATAAAAATGTGTGTTATTATGTAGTAAACTATAGAATCCTAAATAGAAGATTATTACTCTAATTTTATATATAAAATAAATATTGTTGATAAAATTAATTTGTAACTCTCTCAAATAATAAAAAATATATCAGGATCAATTATAAGTAATAATAATTAGTTGCATTCTCTATAAGAAGTTTTAATTATTATTTTTTTGTTCATGTTATGTATATCAATTTTTAATTTTTTATGTTTAAAAAGTATTAAATATAATTTTAATAAATATAAATTTATGAATTTTTACGGTCTATTAAAAAAAATTAAAACATACTAGTGTGCCACCTAAAATTTTTTTCTGGCTCCGCCCCTGCACTCAAATCGACCACTATGATTCATTTATATGGTAAAATATGTAGAACTTACACCTACACAAATAGCACAATGAAAAACCAATAAACTAATGCAACAAAAACGCTTATAAACNTATATATATATATATATATATATATATATATATATAAGAAAATTTTAATGTTAGTCAAACTCTTAACTTATATATGAATATAGATAGATATGAGAGATAAAATATTTTAATGTTATTCAAACTCCTAAGATTTAAGAGTTTTTAATTTTTAGTTTTATTTCACTTCTAAAGGGAAGAGATAATATGGTAAAATTGACAAAAAATGAACTTCATAACAAATAAATTTTTTTGACAGACTTAAGTCCAAACAAGCCTATATAGGGGGATTGACCTCCAAATTTCATTTTTTTTTTTGCTTCATATTAAGAATGTATTTATTGAAAAAAAATTTAGACATATTTAATTGTGTCCACCCTAATATTGTGTTCTAGTGATATTGATTTGAATAGATCCTTACTTAAATAATTGTTAACTTTTGAACAATGTTATTAAAACCTAATTTAAGGACATAATACATTGCGATATTAATTATAATAGTGAGATTTAATATTTAATAAACTCTACTATCTATCCAATAGTCACAAATTATTGGGTCTTTATCAATTAAATCTCAAATTAGGTACAACTAATATAATTGTTAACTTTTAGACAGTTTTAGACATGTCCGAATATGTTTTGAATATATTGATATTATTTTATAATTTTTTTAAATTGTAGTATTATTTTGTTATTGTATAAAAATGTGTGTTATTATGTAGTAAACTATAGAATCCTAAATAGAAGATTATTACTCTAATTTTATATATAAAATAAATATTGTTGATAAAATTAATTTGTAACTCTCTCAAATAATAAAAAATATATCAGGATCAATTATAAGTAATAATAATTAGTTGCATTCTCTATAAGAAGTTTTAATTATTATTTTTTTGTTCATGTTATGTATATCAATTTTTAATTTTTTATGTTTAAAAAGTATTAAATATAATTTTAATAAATATAAATTTATGAATTTTTACGGTCTATTAAAAAAAATTAAAACATACTAGTGTGCCACCTAAAATTTTTTTCTGGCTCCGCCCCTGCACTCAAATCGACCACTATGATTCATTTATATGGTAAAATATGTAGAACTTACACCTACACAAATAGCACAATGAAAAACCAATAAACTNATATATATATATATATATATAAGAAAATTTTAATGTTAGTCAAACTCTTAACTTATATATGAATATAGATAGATATGAGAGATAAAATATTTTAATGTTATTCAAACTCCTAAGATTTAAGAGTTTTTAATTTTTAGTTTTATTTCACTTCTAAAGGGAAGAGATAATATGGTAAAATTGACAAAAAATGAACTTCATAACAAATAAATTTTTTTGACAGACTTAAGTCCAAACAAGCCTATATAGGGGGATTGACCTCCAAATTTCATTTTTTTTTTTGCTTCATATTAAGAATGTATTTATTGAAAAAAAATTTAGACATATTTAATTGTGTCCACCCTAATATTGTGTTCTAGTGATATTGATTTGAATAGATCCTTACTTAAATAATTGTTAACTTTTGAACAATGTTATTAAAACCTAATTTAAGGACATAATACATTGCGATATTAATTATAATAGTGAGATTTAATATTTAATAAACTCTACTATCTATCCAATAGTCACAAATTATTGGGTCTTTATCAATTAAATCTCAAATTAGGTACAACTAATATAATTGTTAACTTTTAGACAGTTTTAGACATGTCCGAATATGTTTTGAATATATTGATATTATTTTATAATTTTTTTAAATTGTAGTATTATTTTGTTATTGTATAAAAATGTGTGTTATTATGTAGTAAACTATAGAATCCTAAATAGAAGATTATTACTCTAATTTTATATATAAAATAAATATTGTTGATAAAATTAATTTGTAACTCTCTCAAATAATAAAAAATATATCAGGATCAATTATAAGTAATAATAATTAGTTGCATTCTCTATAAGAAGTTTTAATTATTATTTTTTTGTTCATGTTATGTATATCAATTTTTAATTTTTTATGTTTAAAAAGTATTAAATATAATTTTAATAAATATAAATTTATGAATTTTTACGGTCTATTAAAAAAAATTAAAACATACTAGTGTGCCACCTAAAATTTTTTTCTGGCTCCGCCCCTGCACTCAAATCGACCACTATGATTCATTTATATGGTAAAATATGTAGAACTTACACCTACACAAATAGCACAATGAAAAACCAATAAACTAATGCAACAAAAACGCTTATAAACTAATGCAACCAACAGTTCAAAAAAAAAAAAACTAATGCAACCAAAAACCCATAAACAATGCAATCAGACATAACATCACACAACCCTAAACAAATAAACTAATCCCTTCTGACATCTCATAACCAATAAACTAATGCAACGTGAATAATAAAGTAAATCAACTGAACATAGAATCTGACGAAAGACCTTCACAACAGTACACCCAAGGATAAAAACTCAAAACCACAACAAATGCAAGCACTTGTAGTAAATCTGATCCAAATGCAAGATATCATGTGCAACATGTATTAACCACTCCATTGATGCGATGCTTGACTCACATAAGCTTCATGTGATGGGTTAGGGTTTAGCTCTTCGAGATGCTCTTTGAGATTCACAGACCTGCAATAGGTTTAATGCGGGTTGCCTAAAACGCTTCTGCAATTTCATGTGATTGTCATAGTCCAAACATTTCCGCTAGAAAATTTAACGGAGGCAAGCAAAAGGGCTTGATTAAAACAATTAGATAATTAAGGAGCTCAATTGACTCAAAAAAAAAAAAAGTTCAATGGCTCAATTGAGCACAAAGAGTCAAATGCATAATTTACTCGAATTTTTAAGGGTTTTTCACATTTTTATCAAAAGTATTGCAATGTGACCTTTGTGTTAATTTTTATTATTTTTTTCGTCAATACACTAACGAAAAAAACTAATAGAACGCTAACATATGAGTCACATGGTAACACTTTTGATACATTGAGGGTACAATGTGAGAAATTTAATTTTTTGGAATATAAAGTGATAATTTTAAAATCTTTCACGGTGCAAGCCTTTTAAGTTAAAAAAAAACTTTAATTTCTTTTGAATTTAAACTTAAAAAAATATCACTCAATTTTAATTCCGAGAGCACTTTTGAAGTTTGATTGCAATGGATTTTTAGGTCCTAATAACATTGCTCTTTTTAGCAAACCCAAAGTTGAATCCAAAAATTCAACTCCAGTTCTAACTTGAATTTGTTAACTTAATTAACTTAAGAATTTGAACTTCAATTGAATACCATTTTTTGTCTAAATTAAAAGTTGGACTTAATTTAAACCCAAATTACATAACTCGAGTTCAAATATCCACGTATATTAAGGTTAGAGTGTTGGAATAATAGGTCACCGTTAATTTGAAATTAAGAATATTCTCTAATTAATCAAAAAAAAAAATTTAATTGGTGGTATTGGAAATTTTGGTATCATTACCACGTGAGTAATGTTATTGAAACCTAATTTACTGTCATAATTTGTTGACCTAATTAACTGTAGACCTCATTAAACATTATAACTTGTTGTTGATCTAATGATTCCTATGAAACCATATCATTATGTCAACAAATTAAATTAAAATTTTAAATTCAAATAATATTACTCTTACAACATCTCTGGATTTTTTCTCACTGCAAAAGAGTTGCTATTGCTATAAGGACATTCGATTGCCACATCACATATTTGCGACCACTTGTTTCATTAATTCTTTTTTTTGTTCCCTATGGTAAAATTTTATCCTCAAACCTAGCAAAATTTCACCCCACCCTTATACCAATTAAGGGAAGGATTCAAGTTGCATGCACTATAAATTCAAATTTCTTGAATTCAACATTCGCTAATAATTCTCGAATTTAACTAGTACTCATTGGTATTTGATAGTTATCCTACCGAGGTGACTTTAATAACACTCTAGTTTTAGAAAACTTTGTTATTGTTATATCGTTAGTTAATGGTCATTGAATTTTGGAATGGAAGGACTTCAAATGGAAGAAAATGATTTTTTTTTTCTTTTTAATCAAAAATTGGCGATTAAGAACAAACAAATGTCACTATCCTCTCGCCAAAAAAATGTAATTAGGGTCTCAAGAATTAATACTTAATTTCTTTAATCATAGTTACATCGTTTGAACATATTTTCAATTACTTTTTCCGAAAGAATTTGGTTCCAAAAAATAAATAGATAAATTGACAACAACTTGCAATTTAGACGAGAAACACTTGCAAAACATTATCAAATGGCAACTAACATTGATGGAGCATCCCAAATTACTTATTCAAGACAAAAGTTCACTTGTTTTGAAATCCAAACCCATTGATTAATGGTACTACTGACCAAAACAAATTCAACATAGTACCTTTATTTGGTTTTTCTAAGATTGTTTAGCTCCACCTCTTGATTGAGGTTGGAGTCCTACATAGTCTGCCGGTCCATATGGTTCAAACAATTCCTGAAACAATCCTTTCTTTCTTCTCGGATTGCATCCAATGTCTTTGCACAATTGATCATTGTACCATATATGCACACCACCAATACAAGATCTTTGGTAAGAACTGCCAGCGTATCGCTTCATGTAATCTTCCCACTGTCTAACATCCGTCTCCATATCCTTTATACTTGGCAATTGGAATGTTCCATCGAGAAAATGTGCTAGCCATTGACACCTGATCTCAAAGGTGTATAGATTATCAAGACTCTCCGAATATCCTATTATTGCTAGTTGAGGAATTCGAGGATGAATGATCTGCCTGTAATAACACAAACATCAAAATTTTGTTGGATCATGATATTTATCTGTGAAAAAAAATTGTACAGAATACCTGTAGAGAGGAATTGAGGAAGTTTGCGACTCCATTATGTGTTTTTGGAAAGTTGGTGAGGTGAAAATATTTTTGAGCTTGAGATCACCTCTGTATCCAGTGGCAAAGATCACAAGATTGGTTTTTAGAGGCTCGTCTTCTCCTTCAATAAGTAAACCTTCCTTGCAGAAGCTGAAGCTTTGTGATTTCTTCAAAATGATGCTTCCTTCTATCACTTTGTCGTAAAAATACTTAGGTAGAAGGAGAATTATACAAGAAGTAACATCGTGGAAAAAGCTATCTTTTGGTACCATTCCATATTTTTTCAAGGGAAATTTCCATCTGAGATAGCTCTCGACAAATTTTGAGATCCCCCACCTCTGAGTATCATGCAAATAAACACCAAGTGAAAACGATATGGTTTAACATTATTGGGAAAGGCTATGGAGCTTAATGTGTGAGAGAGAGAGAGAGAGCTTACCAAAGGTGAAAGCAGGGTGGCCAAGACACTGAGTAGGAATGTTTCACCAGGCTTGTGAAACAGAAGCTCCGAGAAGCGATTGAAGTATAAGTAACCAAGATTAACTCCGCACACAAAAAAACCAGGGAGCATCCAATGAATGTTCCTTTGAATCATCGTGCAAGGGTAATTGGTCCCTGGTTAAAAAATGAGGAAAATTTTGAAAATTGAATGACAACGCTTCAAATCTTTGTATGAAAAAATTAAAGCTCCAAATACTCATTTCTTTTCATGTTTAGGGCACCAATGAAAATGCTCATAACGAGAGCATTTATTTTCACTTTCCAAAAAAGAAACGAAAACGTCCATGCTACTTTATTCTTGTTTACATCCCATGAATTGGCAAATGTGAGGCATTAGAGTTGAATGTAGAGCTAATACTTGTGTTTCTACCTCCAATTGGCCATTAGTAAATCTACCAAAAACACAAGAATATCCTTCATTCACCACAATTAGAATTTATAAGAGGCATTCTGTTTTGAAGTTACCTCTAAATGACACAATCCATGTGGATTTAAGAAAAATTTTCTCACCATTTGCATCGGCACATTCGGCTGATATGTCCACTGCAGATTTTGAAGAGCCTATGACTGCAATTTTCTTTCCTTTAAGCAATTCTGCAGCAGCTGCATTGTCCATAGCAGAGTAGTCCATTGAATGCATAACCTTCCCATAGTATACTTCTGGACCATGACCTTGAGGGAACTCTGGGAAGTTTGGCACACCACTGAATCTTCCAGTACAAACAATCACAAACTCAACTTCATATTCCTACCACAACAAAACAACCAACAGTCCTTTTGGATTGATTGATTGATCACAATGTAACCAGAAACCAAAATAGCCAATTGCTTTCCTATTCTGGCATTCTTTCTCACACTATTACACATTTTCTTAATTTTTAAATCTCAAAAAGGTTCCATGGTGAATGAAATACAAGAAATAAAAATGTTTTTACCTATGCCTTAATTTAGATCGGATGGGCATCTCTGGGATGATAGCAAGGCATATTGGTGATAAGATGAAAATGCATATCGGAAGTTATTTAGATATGATACTTACTTATTGTTGAAATTAAAATCTAACTATTAAATTAGTGGGACCCACAAACTTAAGGAATTCTAGGTCATGCTCCAATGTCCCTCGTCTTACCCCAAAGGAGCCGGTGACATAAAAAAAAAAAAAAAAAAACCTAGTTACTATCGAACTGGCCGCTTCCTCTAGACCTCGGCAACAAGCCGGCGCCCAGCCCATGATTTTTTCGCCCACAGTTGGGTCTCTGGGCTTTGACTAGTTAATAGGCTGTGGAAAAAATTGAAGGCCCATGGCCCTCTCGTGAGCTGTCCTATTGGGCAAAAAATATGACTAATATGGGCCGGGACTTATGGACCACTATTTGTGCCTAAAACTAGCTTTTTAAAAAAAAAAATTATTTTTTATGTAAAAAATTATAAAAAGACATCAATTCATAAAGTTGGATATGAAAAAATAAATTAACAAAAAAATTATTCGTATTAATTGAATTTAACAAATATTCATCAAGGGTTACAATGTCATGTGTTTGAAGAACACTTGTATAAAAGTTGGGAAATTCATTGGGCCAAATGAAGGATAACTTAAAATATTGGGAATTCACATGACCACGTGACATTCCTTCGAAAATTAGAAGTTCCAGTCTTTTTTTGACGAAAACACGACAATAAGTGATAAATGGACGTTTTAGAGTTTGATTCAACTATTCTTTTATGGGATAATTATGTTTAGATCCACTATGATCTGTCGTTGAATGAAAACCAGCCCCCTCTATTTGAAAATTGATATTTTAACCCCTATAGGTAATGTTTTGGATTGAAAACGATGGAGATAACAAAAAGATTAATTTACCACACATTTGTTTAGAAAGAGAAGCAAAAACAATTTAAAATTTAAAAAACTGCCACTCTGATATCCAATTTTTCCCTTGTAAACATGCCTAATCTCTTATATAGATATGAAAATTTTAAATTGACTCGCGACACAAAATTACAGATATAGGTGATAGTTGTGTGAACCAATTAGACCAATCAAATAAATGAGTCCATACAAATCCGATTAACCAAAACACAATTATGCAAAATTTATATACAATAGAAACTCATCGTAACATGAACCTGGAAGTATATGATTAGGTGTGAGTTGAGTTAATTTTAAAATGATACGATATGCAGACAATACATCTGACATAACACGAGTAATTGACAATTACATTAAAAAGCCAAACTTCTTGTCAAACATATCTCATCCTAACGGCTTAGGTAATGGAGTGTAACAACATGGAGGTTCTTGTTTCCCAAAAACTAGGGCTGTAACTTGGACTAGTTGAGTGGGTTAGAGAGTCAACTCAGGTCTAACCAAAAGTACAAAAACTCTAACTTTAACCTGAGCTGCTCAACTTGAGTATTGTCAGCTTGGATTAAGATTGGACTTGGGTTGAATTAGAGTTGAGATGTTGAAAAGCCAATTGATTTTGATTCAATAAATATATAAGAATGGGAGTAGTTGGAGCCAAAAGAAGATAAGAGATACAGGCATCCAGCATTTTGGAGATCTAGGCGAGAACCAGGCGATGTCCTCTGATCTTCTCAAAGACGAAGATTTATGGTCGACTTCTCCAAATTTGGCATGGACTGCTGGAGAGGAGATGAAGAAGGAGAGAACAGGTGAAGGAGAAGAGAAGGAGATGAAGAGATTGTGAAGAAGAAGAATGAGAGACCAACAAGAGAAGAAGAAGAGACGGTGGGAGCACTGTTATCAAAATCGGACCGGACTGGTTGGTCGGACTGGTAAAACAGTGAATTGAAATCTAAAATGGTCCGATCCATTAGTTAGACCGCCTAAGCAATCGAACTGATGGAAAACCAAAAAATCGGCCGATTTTTTTTCAAAACTGGTGAATTGAAGATTACTAAAATCAGCTGGTTCAAAACTATACCAGCCCATTTGTCTTCGTCTTCGTCATCTTTGGCTGGTTCAAAAATATTTTAGCCCCTTTGTTTTCGTCTTCTTCATCTCCAATGTTTCCATATTTAACTCGAACAATGGCTACACCACAGATCTTGAACTCCTTCTCAGCCATTGATCTGCCCCTAAGTTTTGTTAGCCTTCTTCTCATCTCTCTCTCTCTCTCTCTCTCTCTCTCTCTCTCTCTCTCTCTCTCTCTCACGACTTGCCATAGATGGCTAGATCCCACCTGAGTTATGTCTCTTCAGTCTTCCCTTTTATTTTTTTTTCTTGATCTGCAACCCGACACTAGCCAGTTGGGTTCCACTTTGTTTCTTGCTCTCTCTCTCTCTCCACATGCACACACACACGGTCAACCTGTACACACACTCAACAATCAAAAAAATCAATACATTATATACTACACACAATAATTTTTATTATGATTGTGAATTTTTAACTAAATTATTATGTTATATAATGTTTTAAAAAAATTTTATTATACAATAAGTCCAACTAGTGGACTCAATGGTTGAACCATTGACCCGGTCCCTTTGTCGATTTGATGTCTGGTCCAGTTCTGATAACATTAGGTGAGAGTATATATATATATAATCGAGTTGAGTCTGTTTTCATCATTTAGGGTTGGGATCGATTGAACCTGTAAACCCGATACCTCAACCCGATTACTGTCCGAATTAAGTTAAAATTTTTTAGCCCAGGCCCAACCCTAATTTTAAAAATCTCAACTCAAGTCCTATTTTTCTCGAATTGGGCTTTGATCGGACCGCCCACCTTTCACTCCAACCAAAAACCACAAAATAAAGGGTAGTGGTGTTATTTTTGCAATAAGTGGAGATCTCTATAATTATGTGATAAACCAAGGGTATGTAGGTATAAGTTTTCCTTGTTCTTTATAATAAAGTGTAGCCATGATAGACTGTCACTAGGCTTGACCTGATGCCATAGATCCTATTTTATAGGTATTTTGTCGCTAACCGGTGAAGAGTTTTTTAGACCATGATCCTAATAAAATTTTGAAGTATACCGTGATATATAATTAATTAATAACATCACGTATATATCATAATGTAATATTATTTATATTAACTATTTATAATATTATCTTTACATTAATTATTTATTCAAGTGATTGGAACAAAATCGAGAAACATGGCTCAAGATCCCTGATAAAATAATAATATGACATTATCGTTACATTGAATATTCACTTTCACTAAATCTAATATGATAGCAGGATTAGCTCACCTAATAGTTGATGTACCTACAAGTTACAAGTGAGATAAATTTTTTTTTAGATTTTATGTTGCCACAATTATGAGAAATAAACCCCAAACTAAATGTCAGACACTCAAGTGATACTAGTTACTGCACGCGATCGTTGCATGCCAATTATGGGGCAGATAAATTGAACCAATAAAAAGAGATGGTTATTGTTAATAAAAAAATAGATAAATTAAACTAATTTTCTTATATTTATAAAGAGAGGATTATTGAATTTTATGTGGCTTACTTGTCTATTTGTTCCCTTGTTAGTGGACGGTTACAGAAAATGACACTTCTGAAGTGGGGTAACCGGGACAGAGTTGGCTCTACGTGATAGTTGTTGAATGTGGTGATTAGCTCACTAGCAAAATAATGTACATTGATAAGTAACATTTTTTTTTCAATTTGACTCAAGCATTTTTTTTGGGATAATTATGTTTAGATGCAGTGAGATATGTCTCTTGCTCATACGAACCCCTCTTATTTTAGAAATGATAGTGTAACCCCTATGAATAATGTTTTGGATTGAAAACAATGGAAGTAATAAAAATACTTCACCACAATGTTTCAAAAGACAAACAGAAACGATTTAAAATTAACAAAATTGTTACTAAAATATCCAATTTATCCCTTAAGAACTTCCCCAATTTCTTATATAGGCTTGAAAATTCTAAAATCCGTGAATCCGACATGACATCGATAAGAAATTATTGTGTGTGAGTTTAGCTTTAGCGGGTTGGAGTGATAACCAATGAGACTTATTAAACTAGTCAAATAAATGGACTGATGCAAACCCACTAAATACGATATATATACAATTTATACACAATACAAATTCAATATAACATGAATTTAACTATACACAATTATAAATGAGTTATGAATTGAACAAATTTTAATATGGTACAATTCAAAACTAGGTACAAAAACGACAAGCGGGCTGAGAGGCGAGAGTCCTACTTATAGATAATAAAATCAAACTTCTTGTCAAACATATCTAATTCTAAGTTGACGATAATGGAGTGTAACAGCATGGAGCTAGCTATTTCCAAACACCAAATCATAAAGGGCAGTAGAGTTATTTTTCCTACAAGCCAGAATCCGTTTGATTATGTGAAAAATCCAGGGGACCTACGTATAATTATTCCCTGTTCCTTGTGGCAAAGTGAATTTATAGGAAGTAAGGCTGTGTTTGTCTGCATAGTATCCACGCTAACAGCCATAGTAGACTGTAAATAGTTTGACCTGACGCCATAGAACCCATTTTCCCGGTCTTTTGTCGCTAAATGGTGCACAAAATGCAGAACCAATTGTTTTTGGACAATGATCCCTAATGGAATTTTTTTTTTCTTTTTTCTTTTTTTTTTGGTTTAATGGAGTCTAAACTAGTTTACGTGTACCTCAACTAATTTGTTTCTCAATTCGATCAAAGGTAGATCATTCACACTAACATTAAAATATTCATGAGTAATAAATTTCATATAACTTGACTGCAAAATTTTATATCGGCTGGATTGTATGTCAAATCTTATAGGGGTCTAAATATAATTATCCCTATTTTTATGCCAAAGGTGATGTATGGGAAGTAATCCGGTCTTTATGTGCATCATACAATCGCCCACCATATAATTTTTTTTTTTTTTGAATTCCCCAACTCCAGATGAGTTTGAGGTCATCGGAGCCTTGCCTTTTTTGAAGACTTTTTTTTGTTGTGCCCCTCGCTCTAAAGAGCGAGCAGGACAGCTTTCTTGTGATAGTAATTGTGAACTCATTCCATTTTTTGGAGGATTCGTTACTTATTGAGAAGCCTCAAGCTCCGACCCGTTTACTCACCAAAAATTCGGATTAAGGGGGATGGGACTTTATAGTTGAGGTTATGTCCAAGGGGAAAAGCTACGGTACCGAATGAGGTACCGTAACGAAATTTATAACTATTTAAAGTTAAGTTAAAAATTTTTTTAAGTGTAAGTTATAACTTTTTTGATATGTAAATTACAACCTTTAAGAGTCAAGATCGATTATGATAGATTGGAATTGATATCGAAGTAATAACTTTTAAAGGTCAAGTTATAACTCATAAAGATGAAGTTACAACTGCTCAGAGGAAGTCCATGATTGATCATATGTATTTGTGATCGATAATGATCTTCTTAAATAGTTGTAACTTCTCCTTTTAAAATTATAACTTTACCATAAAAGTAGTAAGTGACGGTACGATACCTCCTTCGGTACCATAAAATTTCCCATTCCATGGGTCTAAAAATAATTATCCCTATTTTTATGCCAAAGGCGATATATGGGAGGTAATCCAATCTTTATGTGCGTCACTCAATTGACCACCATAAACAATCCATGTTAGTATTTTGGGTGGTGACGTGATAGAGACCAAAATCTATTTGACTATTTGACTTTTTTTTGGTTGTATGTACTTTTTTTTTTTTTTTGACCAGAGAACACTACAATACTTCTACTTAAAAGCCGAAGTGTCATAGATCCTTATAATTCACACACACACACCCAAAGGCTATCCGATGTGGGATGTACTTGATTGAAGCTATTTCGTGTTCAAATTTGGGTTGCAGCAATCTTCGTGTTTGATCAGCAATCTTGGTGGTCCTTTCATAATGAACTTGTTGATCTTGAAAATATTGTTAATGGAATGACTAATGATCTGGTCATCACCGACGAGTTTCTGCAAAGAAGTCGAAGACCAAATAGACTTTGGTGATCAATCATTCGATGACTAAGTCAATAAAGGTGAAGAGGATTATCTAAAATTAAGCTGGGTTGAATTACTAACTTGACTCGTGGCTAACTCTTCTATTTTATAGGTGAGCTCTTATTACCGTTGAGGCTGTTCAACTGTCTTTTGAATAGGGCAGTAAGGAATGTGGAACCTCTAACTTAGAATATCTGAATGGGTTTGAACTATTATGGTGGGATATGTGCGAGTGGGCTGTTTGGATCCTAGTGGGAATTGCATCGAATTTGACTTACGTGTTTGCATTATGTGTGTCCTTGTCACATGCATGGTCACTCACGTGCTCCCACATGCCCAGTCACTCACGTGATCACCTTGGGCTATTCCTATCTCCATCAGTTATCCCTAGCTCAGACCAATGGAAGACGCACTCTATGCATTAACTACACTTGCTCGTTAGGGGTGGAATTGATTGCTTCGTGTACGCAACCACCAAATAGCCATTGTGGGCCCAATATATATGCAAGAGTCCAACTTCTTCTTCGTTGGATATCTTTGAGAGCTTCTGGAACTTTGGTACACCTTTACCTCTGCCCTAATCCTCTTTTGCTTTCTTATTTTAACACGATTTGCTTTGGAACGCATAGGTTGGAGCCACATATTCCAGTTTCACTTTTACCATTTTTATGTTTTTGAGGTGGAGGAATTCCAATCTTCAATTTCTAGGGTTTTTTGTGGGTGAATCTATTAGGGCTGGAGTTACATTTGTGCTCGAGTTTTGCCTTTCCCTTTTCGATAACAAACTTAATCGCTCTCTCCCCCCGAATTTGTATATCAATTACCACAGCTTCCCAACCATGGCAATTGATTATGGTCAATTCTTTTCTGAGAGTGTTCTGGCTCCCGTAGCCCAAGCCAATGTAGCAAACGAGGATTACGACTCTATTCAAGAGATTGGGTCCTCAACTCCAAGATTTAGTGGGGCTAAGAACTACCACAGTTATCATGATGAAAGCTCACTTCAAGAATTAAGAGCTCAATATTCGATTCCCAACTTTGTGTGTCTATAAGTCCCTCATGTTGAAGAACTAGTAATTCCTTTTTTTCTAACGAGACTTGCTTCTACAAGTCTATCTTTGAAGCCAGGC